CTTCCTTCCTTTCTTTCTTTCTTTCTTTCTTTCTTTCTTTCTTTCTTTCTTTCTTTCTTTCTTTCTTTCGGTTTTCCCCCTTTACAAGCCTCTCTGAAGTTCTTTGACTCAACCAGCAAAAACCTCCAACTTTCATTCATTTGCTTCTCATTACCAATCAATGAAATAGTTATGATATATTCAATCGTTGCAGGGGCGGGGAAGCCAAGCTCAGGGCGGGGCTCCCACTGATTCTGCATTTACGGTGGGTTGTATAATTATTTCATCATGTATTACAATGTAATAATAATAATAGAAATAAAGTTCAGAATAAATGTAATGTGCTTGAAGTATCCCAAAACCTCCCCCACCCCCCCACAAGTCTTTGGAAGAATTGTCTTCCATGAAACCAGTCAATGGTGCCAAAAAGGTTGGGCACCCTGGACTAGATGACCTTTAAAGTCCTTTCCAACTCTGTTTTTCTTCATCCATTCTTCTTCAGGAGAGATTAGCAGGGACACACATCAAGAGATATGGTTATATTTCCTTAAAGGTGGATTGTCCTAGACCAGTGGTAGGGAAACTTGGCTCTTTTATCACTTATGGACTTCAACTCCCAGAATTCCTGAGTGAGCCATAAAAGGTTCCTCATCCCTGCCCTACTGGTTTTTCAGTTGTGGGGGAAATATGTCCTACATTTGTATATTAAATAGTCCCATTCAAGTCAAAAATTGATTTCCTCCACAACTGAAAAACCAGTAGGCCTCAGGAATTCTCAAGAATTCTGGGAGTTGAAGTCCATAAGTGATAAAAGAGCCAAGTTTCCCTACCCCTGCCTTAGACCACTGGAAAAATAGAGTTACTTCAGAGCAAAGATGGTGAAGGTTTTTTTTTTTGCTGAAAATATACATCACTTACCATATATTGGCTCTCAGAGCCAGAAAATAATATTGACCTATCACATATTCGGAAGATACGAAGTTCCACCAAGAGATTTGGATGTTTTGTTTTATTTTTTTAACTGAGATGTACTCATTTGAAGACTTAACACTATAATTTTTACACTTCCACTGAAGTGGAATTGGAAAACATGTTTCAAGTTTTAGCAGTCCAGTCCATGGGGGCTTTGAGGTTTATATGGAATTACAGGTTTATAAAATTAGCCTAGATTTTCTTATTGCATGCTAAATAACTCTTAAGCAGTAATTTCTGTTTGTTAGACATTCTCAGGGAAAGGAAGCTCCAGGACAATTAAAATGACGAAAATAAAACATTTTTTTATTGTTTTATCCACTCCATCTAAGACATGTTTGGGAGAATTATCTTGCAGCTATAACTTCTATGCTTGACAATGCAGTGATCCACCAGGATTTTACAAAAAAGATACTGAACATTGCACAGTTAAATATAGAAAGCAGAATTACCCAATTCACACAACATGCATTTCACTTCTTTTTTCCACTATCCCTTAACATCTGTTTTCAGCCCTGACTCCTAGGACACCTAAGCCTGGTTTAATTTTCTTTGGCAATAAGATTTTCCCAAGGATTGTACATGGTCCATAAAGAAGTCTGAATGGAAAACTATTACTTTTGCTATCCTTACAGAAGTCTGAAAGAAAAGATGTCATTATCCTTAGAGAATCACTGAGAAACTATCCCCAAAATCAGTTTTTGGCCCCGAGTCAAAGGAGACCTAACCCTAACCCTATTCCTAACTCTTCTTTCATTTTCATTGGCAACGGAATTTTCCTATGCATTTTCCTGTAGTTCACAAAGAAATCAGAAGAAAAGCAGTCACAATGTCTTTCTTTAGAGAATCTCTAAGACTCTTATCTCCAATATCAATTCTCGTCTCTGATTCCAAGGAAACCTAACCCTAATCTTAACACTACTTTTATTTTCATTTTATTTTTATTTTATTTTCCCATGTAATTTTCTGTGGTCCACACACAGGTTTGAACGAAAAGCTGTCACATTCTCTTCCATTAGAGAACCTCTATGAATCTATCCCTAGCATTAGCTTTCGGCCCTAACTACAAAGGGGATACAACCAGTGGTGGGATTCAAAATTTTTTACTAGCGGTTCCGTGGGCGTGGCTTGGTGGGCATGGCAGAGGAAGGATGCTGTAAAATCTCCATTCCCACCCCACTCCAGGAGAAGAATACTGCAAAATCCCATTCCCTCTCCACCCCACTAAGCTGCTGCTTTCCAGCTCCATTCTCCTGTGCAGGGCAACAAAAGAGGACCCAGCCAATCAGCTGGGACTCAGGAATAAATAGGGGTGGGCCCAGTCAGAGGTGGTATTTGCTGGTTCTGCAAACTACTCAAAATTTCCGCTACCAGTTCTCCAGAACTGGTCAGAACCTGCAAAATACCACCTCTGGATACAACCCTGCAACATCTTCTGTCATTGGTTATGCTGGCCAAATTGTCTAGTTTTTTCTTTCTTTCCTTGATCATCTTATCCATGGGTTATCATTCAAGGTTTAACCATAGTTTCAACTGAGAGAATGTGACCATCCTAGACCAGGCCAAATCCAAAAATGCCAGGGAATTTCTAGCAGCCTGGCATCCTGACAAATCAGCCATCAATAGACACATTGACATTAACAACATCTATGGACTATGCAAAAGAGACAATCAACCAGCCCAAAAGAGAAAAAGACTCCAGCATCTCTATCAGGAATCAGCACTCAGATCAGCATAGATTAACTCCAAGGACAACTTCAGACCAACAGTCAAGTTGCAATATCCCAACAGCAATATCCCAATCAAGAAACCACCAAAGAGCCATCAGTAAATAGCCCAACCAAAGAATCCCTAAGACTGTCCATACTCTTTGCTAGCACTGATGATGTTACCTCGTTAGGGTAATGAAACGTCTGCAAGAAAACAAGCAAGTTCAGAGAGCGCCACATTTCAACCCTGAGCTACAAATATTCTCCTTTATTAGGGCCCAGATTGCTGGGGGCAATATGCTGACTCTGTAAACCGCTTAGAAAGGGCTGTAAAACTCTGAAGCAGTATATAAGTCTAAGTGCTATTGCTATCATGTCACCCGTAGTTCTTCTTTCCATTGAACTAGACATACCCAATTCCTGCAATTGAACCTTGAAACTGTCCACCCCTTATATTGTTTTATGCAGGCTGCCTGTATTCCTGTGATGCTCAGCAATGGATGGGAACTTCCATTCTCCGAGGTGATTAATTGGAATCAAGCTGCCGTCATAGGAGATGAGAGATTGTTATTACAGGTAAGAAGTGGGTGACTGTCAGGAAAACAGTGGCCTTCATCCAGTGAATTGACCACAGCAGCCATTTTCTCTACTTTCAGGAAAGCTATATCCAAAAGGTCATGGCCATAAAAGAGATTTTATCGGCCAGGCTTTGTCTGTGTCATTGTGAATATTAACTCATTTAATAAAGCATTATTCACTTTTTGACATGAAGGTCATTCCAGCTTCCAAATGTCTTGGTTAAAAATGTAGCGGCATCTGATATTTTTAAATATATTTTTATATATAGGTGTGTGGAAGACCTAAAGTTGAAAGCTCTTGCCATACAAAAGTGATTTGCAATATCAAAATATTTATAGTTCTGATACTTTTCATCCTAAATCAGCAACCTACATATTAGTCTCACGTGTGTTTATCTGTAATTCTAACCTCTTTTCAGATTCAGCTTGTAAATATTAAAAAGCACTCAAGGTGCATATTTAAACTTCACGTTTTACTGTTGAAATATCTGCAGTATTTTATGAGCCTTTACAATGTTACAGAAGATATAAATTGCTTTGAGCCATGAAATTTGAAAAGTGCGACATTAGGTAGATAACTAAGTTCTGATCCAAATTTGATTGATTGATAGATCACACATATATGGCTGCCCATCTCTAGGCGGTGTAACATTAATCCAGGAGATGTAGATTAACCGTTTTACATATAGAAGTGTACAAAAATCAAGATCCTCAGTTATTTCTATATGAGACTTTTCCAATCTCTTTTCTCTTTCTCTTAACTTTGTGTTCCCCTACCAAAAACGTTCCTTTCTGGCACTCCCTCAACAGCTGTCTAACAACTTTGACATCAACACATAGTGCAGAAAGCCAAATGGGCTGCTGAATGCCCAGATCCAGGCAGTTACGTAGATGACCCTACACAAAAGGTGCCGGGTTTTGACCTTCCTCACCAGCATTGGTCAACTCTGAACAGGATCCGTACCCAACATGGTGTCTGCCAGGACTCCTTGTTCAAGTGGGGTCTTGTCTCTACCCTCAGTGTGATTGTGGTGCTCCTTGACAAAATATCCACCACATTGTGTCCGAATGTCCATCAAGAGCTTACACTGGCCCAATGTCTGATTTTTCCAACATAAACCACCCTGTCCTGGAATGGCTGGGTGGACGGGACATTAACATTTGAACCACTAGAAGTCCATGTATTTGCCATACACCAAGGGTCTTCAAACTTGGCAAGTTTAAGACTTGTGGACTTCAACTCCCAGAACTCCTGAGCTAACATGACTGGAGGAGGAATTCTGGGAGTTAAAGTCCACAAGTCTTAAAGCTGTCAAGTTTGAAGACCCCTGCCATATGCTAAATAAGTAAACTTTCCACACTTAAGGGCTTGGAAATCCCTGCTTTAAGAAGAGTCATAAACATTACAGCTGGAAGGCACCAGATTGGGAAAGGCAAATGCAATTTATATGGCTCAATCCCATGAAGACCCTTGCATGCAATAAAGAGGGAAGAGTAACTCCCTTGTTTAAGTCAACCTCTGTCATAGTTTTTTGTGGGGGGAAAACAAAGACTCTTTCATTTCCTTTCATTCTCTGCATTTAGTGAAAGAAGCCAAATTACTGGATTATTCCGGGTTATTGTTCTCTCCCAACCCTTGGAAAAATCTGCTTTGAAGAATTTGGTGCTAATCTCATGTCTTTAAACACTAAAATAGAAATGAAAGAAATAGCCCAAATTGCTACTTTCCACTAATAAGAGCCTGGTTATTGGGTGTTTTTTATAAGTAGTTCTCAATTTACAGGCATTAGTTTAGTGACCATTCAGATGGCACTGAAAAAGGTAACTTGGGGGCCAGTCTTCACCCTTAATGATTGTCACAGCATCCTCATGATCACACGACTAAAATTTGGCAACCGGCATGCATTTACAAGAGTTGCAGCCTACAAGGCTCGTGTGAGCAACATTTGCTCATAAAATACTGCAGATATTTCTACAGTAAAACGTGAAGTTTAAATATGCATCTTGAGTGCTTTTTAATATTTACAAGCTGGATTCAAAAAGAGCTCATAAACACACATGAGAGTAATATATAGGTTGCCCCAAACCCTGATTTCAGAATTATAAATATTTTGCTTGCCAGTATTCTGACAAACAAAGACAATAGGGGAAGCTGAAGTTACTAAATGACTGCATGGTTCACTTAACAATCTAGCGATTTGCTAAACAACCATAGTGAAAAAGTCACAAACTTTGGTGTGACTTACTTAACAACTATGTTTCTAAGCAATGGAAATTCTGGTTCTGATTGTGGTCGCAAGCTGAGGGCTAGTTTAGTTTAGTTTAGTTTACTTTATTGTCCTTGCACCTCGTACAACGAAATTAAATATCATCTTCAGTGTACATTATGACTATGAAAATAAACACAAACACACATCCTTCACATTCTATACATTGAATTGAAAACCTCTTGATATTGCATTAATATTGCACTATACGGTAGAATTCAATAGAGTTACTTGTGTTACTACTTGTGCTTGTACCAGTGAGAAAACGCTCATCCATGTAAAGTCATTTCTGGCTGAAGCCCTCTCCTTTTTTGAAAGAGTCGGGTCTGGATTCAAAGCTGCTCTCCAATTTGCTAGATAAAGGGAGGAGGGAGGACAGGGGAGATGCCTCTGAGATCCTTTTAATGGGAGACTTCAAGGAATAAACTTGGATTCCTTTCCATGCAAGGCACGCGCCATACTGCCGCGCGTGCGACCAACATATTTAAATCCGGCAGAAATGTAAAAACCTACACCCTGACTGACGTATTTAGCTGCCGAAGGTAAGAGAGAAGGCTGTGCAGCATTCCAAATATCTGTGAATGTCCCTTCCCTCCCAAGGGTACATTAATATTCTGATCTTTGTTGTTTCCTGTAATGCAGAATTGATTATCTTCACAGCTGCTTCCCTTACTAGAACAGCTACTATACTATTATTAACAGTGGTTTTTAAAGAGCTGGCATGAAGCCCAAATGTCTGCTTTGGGAAATGTTTTTGTTGCATTACACTTTTTCAATCCCCAGTTTAGATGCACTCGGATGTTTTTATTTACATGTTCTCTGTACTGTCATGCTGCTCCAGCTACAGACAAGCTGAAGCCACTCTCTCTGTTGTCGTTTTAGCATCGCTTTTCTCCTTCCTTGTTTGTTGTATCAGCGGCCTGCTATTCAAGCATCATCCCGTCCTAATAATTCTCTTGTATTCTTGGGCAGTTCAGCCTCAGTTCATCCTTGCCCACAGCCATCTTGTAAGCCAAGAGATGAATAGCAAATGGTCAAATGAAATTAAAAACGGAAGCCCTAGTTTGTGTTGTAAGTGAGCTAACATGTAAAAATAGGCTTCAGAAATTACAGGCAGTTCTTCTAAACACCGCAATTGTGACTAGAATTTTGCTTGCTAAGGGAAGCAGTTGTTAAGTGAGTTGCACCTGTTTTATGATCTTTTTCCCAAGTTATTAGGAAAATCACTGCAGTTGTGAAGGGATCTTGTGGTCATTAAACACATCCAACTTCCCCCGTTGACTTTGCTCAATGGAAGCCAACTGGGAAGGTCGCAAAAATCAGTCATGTGATCCCAGGATACTTCAACCATTGTAAATACATGCTGGTAGCCAAGTGCCCAAATTTTGATCATGTGATCATCGGGATGCTGTTGTATGTACGAGGATTGGTCACAAGTCACTTAATACTGTTGTAAGTTTGTAGTCGCTAAACAAATTAGTGGTGGGACTCATCTCTGGGGGGATGAGTCTGCCTATTGAGATGAGATGGACCGGTTGCTTTCATGGTGTAGAGACAATAACTTGGTCCTCAACACCAATAAGACCAAGGGGATTATAGTGGACTATAGAGGTCTAGCCCTTGTTTATCAATGGGGACCGAGTGGAGCAAGTGGCCAGTTTTAAGTTTCTAGGTGTTACCCTAAAAGAGGACCTGACTTGGGATGCTCACATTACAACACTGGTCAAAAGGGCCCAGCAGAGATTATACTACCTGGGACTTCTCGGAAAACAATAACTGAATGAAAAACTGCTGGTGACCTTCTACCGCTGCACCATAGAGAGTATCTTAACATACCGCACCTCTGTATGGTTTGCCAATTGCACAGTGGCAGATAGGATAGCACTCCAGAGGGTTAACGTCATTGCCCAGAAGATCATTGGTTGCCTTCTCCCCTCTTTGGAAGAGCTTTATAGTTCCCGCTGCCTTAAGAATGATCAAAACATTCTCAAAGATCCATCTCATCCTGGGCACCCTTTTTTTTTAATTATTATCATCTGGCAAAATAATATGGAATCAATTATTAACCAATCCATTATTCTCCACTTAGAGACAAACAACCTACTCTCTAATAAACAATTTGGTTTCAGAAAAAAACTATCCTGCAATCTGCAACTCTTATACTGCAAAAACATATGGACTACACAACTTGATCAGGGCAAAGCAATAGACGCAATCTACATAGACTTCTGTAAAGCCTTTGATTCAGTGGTACACAACAAACTACTCCTAACAAACTACTACTTCAAACTACTTCAACAACAGAGTGGTCAATATCTGGAATACTGTACCTGACTCTGTGGTTTCTCCCCTAAACCCCAAAAACTTTAACCTTAGCCTGTCTACTATTGACCTCACCCCTTTCCTAAGAGGTCTGTAGGGGGAGTGCATAAGTGCACCAACGTGCCTACCATCCCTGTCCTATTGTTTCTTTTATTTTTCTTATATGTATCCATGTATTCATAACTATGTTTTTACTTATACCTATTATCTTGTAAGCAATTGACAAACCAAATAAAATAAATAAAAATAAATAAATAAAAACAAGGACAAATAGGCTGAAAAACAGCTTCTATCCCAGAGCAGTAGCTCTTTTGAATTCTGCTGTATAGTGCAGTATTGCTCCTGTGGTTTGGGGGTTTTTCGGTTCGATGTGTGGAGGGTGAAGGATGTGTGTTTGTGTTTAATTTCA